CTGCCCTCTTTTTGAATGGACTCCAAAATCTTTGCATTGATATCATTGTCTTTACACAACTCCACAAAACTCAACTCAGGTTTGGATAAACTATTAGCCAATGCTTTCAATTCCGGTTTATTTGGCAAAATTAGTGCCACCAAATAATCATACATTGGATTCCCATAAACACACAAATTGTCCACAAAGTCATCCTTCTTAAGGCTCTCTTCGACCTAAAAAATGAAAATACTATTTATTAAACAGTGTTTTCATTAATGGTTTACAAGTACTTTAGCTAATGATATGTATTCTCCTTTCGACAGTTTTATGATATCCTTTTTGCGGTCAATTATTTGGACGTTTCCGTCCCGATATATCTCAGCGATGTCTCCCGTGTAGAACCAGCGAACGCCGTCCTCCACTTTAAACGACATTTCAGTCAATTTGTCGTTTTTGAAGTAACCTTTGGCCACATTATTGCCGCCGACCACCACCTCTCCTCTGGGGTTTGGCTGGTCATCCAACTTATAGTTGCCTTCAACCCAATCCACTAATTTAATTTGAATCCCATCGAGGGGTGGGCCCACAAACCCGACGCTCGTGTCATCCAAGTCGTTGGCAGTGCCGGCCGCACACGTTTCCGTCAGACCATAGCCTAGATATACATCCATTTAATTAATTAAAAATTTATTTGACGATATCTTTTATGTCAAACATACCCTGAATTAGTGTCACATTAAAGCAATTGCGAATGAATTGGTGGGTATAGGGGGAAAGGGGTGCCCCACCACTGGCTACAAATCGCACTTTTCCTCCCAAAACAAATTTGAATCGATTACACAATATATAGTTAATGATTGGAGTCTTGAATCCATATTTAGTCCAAAACTCTTTCTGGTGGTAGAAAAAGTTGAAAATTAGTTTTGTGATCGCATTTCGGTGGGCAATGGTTTCGATGCCGATCCGGAGTCTGTCTAACACGAGGGGAACGGCCGGCATAACAGTCGGCTTAAGTAGAGTGAGGTCTCCTTTGGTTCCCTTCATGAGGCCATTTGACTGGTCAGTCAGCGTATTAGTGGTGGCGAAACCAATCGGCAAACCATTGGCCATAAACAACATCTGGACCACCATTTCCATGATGTGAGCCATCGGTAGGTAAGCGCAGTATAGGTCTTCCTCTTCGAGAACAGTTAACATCGAATTGAAGCCTTTAATCGCAGATAAGATGTTTGAGTGCGAAATGTTCACTCCTTTGGGGACACCCGTGGAACCCGAGGTATACATGACAACAGCCGTATCATCGGCTCCGGGATCACTGCCTTTCAAGTGTTTGTTTTCTTTGCCCAACTCTTGGATCTGAGACAACGAATAGAAGCGAACTCTATGTCTCTGGTCTT